CCTGCGCGATATCGCCCGAAATGGAAAAGAGGTCGCCGTCCATGAAAACGGCCCGCCGACCGCTTTTCGTGACCGCTGGTCTGCCCCCCTCCAACCGCACTCGCGACCACCCGGCCTACCGGTCTCTGCCCCGACCGCACCCTTCGATTACCCGTGTTACCGCCCTATAAACCCCTTTCGCGGTCGTCGACATTTCCTGAAAAAGGCCTCCTGGCTACCCAACAAAATGCAATGGGGTATAGCGCAGCCTCCTGGCTGCCAAATTTGCGTTCGCCCCGCCCGTCGCTCGGCAGCGCGGCCCCCCGCCGTGCCTCGCCTGACCGCGGGTTGTGGCTATGGGCATCACCACACCACTCACCAAATGTGAAAAAGACAAAAATGTGGCACGTGCATCTGGCCATGTGCTAGCGGTAAGTTCATTCTCATTTTGCACATTTCGAGAGGGGTGTGGCGAGGCCCTATGTTTGGCACCCTACGCCCTTCTGGGGCACGTTTGGGTTTTCGTCGCTATCCGACCCTCTACTTTTGCGCAACAAGGCCTCGTCAAGGATCGAAGGCGAAGCGTTGCTGTTTCTGGGAGCATGCGACAAGTGTCGCCCGATGAAAAAAGGAGGAAAACAGGAAAAAAGAATAAAAAGAAAGAAAAAGAAAACAAAGGAATAACAAGAGGGAGACAACAAACATGTTCGCAGGGGTCCGCCCTGTATAAGCCTTACGGTGTTGCCACACCACTCTCGAAATGTGCAAAATGAGAATGAACTTCCCCCTAGAAGATGACCAGATGTACCAGCCACATTTTTGTCCTTTTCGCATTTCGAGAGTGGTGTGGCCAGGCCCTTAGGAGCAGTGGTAGGTAGGTAGGTAGTGAACTTCAAGGTGAATTGAAAGAAGAATATAGCTCAAAAAAAAAAAAGAGAGAATAATATAGCGTAGTTTCTGTTTTGAAGAAAAAAGCAAAAAAAAAAAGCGTGGGTACTAGGTAGTAAGATCGCACACTGCTAAAAAGTATAAGAGCGCCAGACGTCTAGTGAATGGTCGATCTGGTACCCAGCCCGAGGCTGGGAACGGGATCGGCGCCTAGCGCATCGGAGGGCAGCCGTTGGAAACGCGTGCATGCAGAGCTTGTTGTTATTAATTAATCTATTAATTATTGCTAATCAATCATCAGAAGAGCTTGTGCGAAGGTAGTTATGGCAGCTGCCTGTCACCCTTCATTCGTTTTTTTCTTCTTTCTCCTTCTTTCTCCTTCTTTCTCTCTCGTCACGTGTTTCAGTTCCGCTGTTGTGTCTACTACACGTCTCTGTTGGTCGGCTTGTCCAGAAAACTGATGACTCGTTCTCCCTCCCTTCCCCCCCCCTCCTCTTTTTAATTGATTAATTTTGATAACGTTTGTTTTAAGAACTCACAAGCGTACAAATACCTCCGAACGTTTCGGGGGAAAAAAAAAAAAAAAAAGAACTCGCATGGGGCGTATATGCACAGAAATACAGTCTATGAGGATGCCTGTGGCAGACTGCCCTACCGGGGCCAAGGTCCCAATTGCGCAAATCAGGAGATTTCGGCCGTTGATCTTTGCGATCTACGGTCAGTATCTCTTAATTCGTGCAAGTGGGACTTGGCCCCGGGAGCGTTCTATGTGCTGGGTCTGAAATAGGCGGTCTGCTAGGAGGATTTCGCAGGATTGGTGTGAGCGAAGTCGACCTGTCGACCTGTACTTTCACTAATCAAGCGCCACCGTCTTCCCCCGGAAACCACGCACCCTAATCCTGGTTGTATACATGCCATAAGTCCGGTCCGATACAGGCATGCGGAGGAAGTGATTTGTGTTTGGGGGAAGAAGGTAGCTAGGGGCGAGTTCGTCTGTCCTATCATCATAATCTTTTTCTTTTTCTTTTTGTTTTTTCTTTTTTTATTTTAATCCCTACGCTAGGAGACGTGGGGGACGGTCTCCTGGCTGTCCTATCATCATCTTATTACTTACCTATGGAGCGATTTTTTTTTTTTTTTTTGTTTTTCTTTTTTTTTTTTTTTTTTTTTTTTTTTTTTTTTTCCTAATTTTTTTTTTTTTTTTTTTTTTTTTTTTTTAGACCAATCCAGACAGACGATTCAGTATATGGATATGAAAAAAAAGAAAAGAAAAGTATATGGATATGATGATTACCCATTAATCAGTGCGGTGTATTGCAGTCAGATGCATCCAGCTTTAGCCATAATTTCAGTCAGGTAAATTTAGGACGATGGTAGGGCGTAGTGATTGTTGTTTGTGACAAGTCTAGATGCTCATCAATCAGTAATAACGCATCCTCCTCGTGACGAGTTCGTGAAGCTCCGACGAAACAGTCTGTCACAGCCCCTCGTTTGCTGTCCTTTTCTCCCTTCCTGCCTGCCTGCCTTTCTTTTTTTTAAATTATTTTATTTTATTTTTTTATTGTTAGTGTGGTCCGATGGACCACGGATCAGATATTAAGCTGATCAGAACAGATACAGTGCACTTGATCTTACTTAGCCAAGGCGGTTCTTTGTAACTTCATATATAATAAGGAAAAATAAAAAATATGTTGATCTGTGGGATGTGTTATTTGCTTTGTGACAATTGGATTATCTGTGGGATGTGTCATTTGCTTTGTTTCCCTGTCAGGTTTGGTTTCCTCCTCCTTTTCTTTACCTCTTTGCCTTTTGGATGCGTGCAAGTGGGTCCTTGTGACACACGGGGATGGGGGAAGCCAGCGCTCAACCTGTCATCCACGTGGCTGGCCTTGTACGTAAGAGGTGATGAACAGGTGGGGCTTTCCTTCCTTCTTTTCCTTTCCTTGTTTTGCCTTTTTCCGCCTTTGCGCTCCGATTCACAGTGTGACAATATATATGTATAATAAATGTAATAACTAATAAATAATAATATCAGTAAATAAAATGATGGCTTACAGCTTCGGGAGATCCGATGCATCCATCCTGGACAGACTATGTCAAGGAGTGCTTAACCATTTTGGTGAGTCGCTGCAAGTCCGACGAGGCGGAGGGCATATACTCACACTAGGAGTTTTTCGACTTAGCTCTGGACGTGATTGCAGTCAGATGCATCCAGCTTTAGCCGTAATTGCCTTCAAATACATTTAGGAAAGTGCTCATGTGAGTATCCCTTGAGGTTGTCTGTCTCTTGCGTGCAATGGGCCTCACAAGCACACAAACGGATATGATAATACAGACACATGCACAGGGCTTGACACACAAGAACGGGATTTAAACCCCTTCTATTTTGCTCCGTGTTGAGGTAACCGTTCTCTTGTTGGTCTGTCCTCAGCTCTCGTCTTTTTTTTTTTTTTTTTTTTTTTTTTTT